AAAGTGTTGGTTTCCTCCTGTGCCCTTTGCATGCTTGTTTTCAGCTCCTGAGACTTAAACTCAATTCTAAACCACTCTGTGTGGCCCCATGAGCTCCTGCAGGCTGACTGCTGAGTATTCAGAGGCTGTAATAATTGATGGGGCTTCTGGTTCTCCTTTAAGATGCACTGCCTTGTCTTCCTGCACAAGCGATCATGTGTCATCTTAGCTACGTATGTCCCAACAGCTGACAAGCAATGATATGCTTAGTGGAACTTTAAACAGAGCATGGAAGCTTCTGGAAACACTGTATATCATTGACATTGGCAGTGCTTAAAATTCCTAATTACTTTAATACTAGTAGAGCTCAGGGTACCCGACCAAGCCTCACGGTACCTGAGTTCCAGTTCTGGCTTGCCTTAGCCAGCTCCGTTCCCATGGGCAACTCAGATTCACTGCACTTTAGATAGTTTTTTGTTTTGTTTTTTCCTAGAAAAGATTCTTAAAAGCCACAAATATAATAGAGTTATTTGAACTGTGTTGATGTTATATTTTTAAGGAGATAAGGATATCAACACAAGTTAAATGCACACAAAAATATTCACAAGGTGCCAAAACAGAGAAGGGAAGACATATTTTAAGTCAATTGGTGCCTACAATGTCCGTCTTCCCTTCAGCGTCCCCAAGGTGCTTGTTCTTTAATTACAGGTGGAGCAGAGTATTCCTCAGGCTGTCGCAGGTTACGGTGAATCCCAAGAGTCTTTACAAAGGTACAGTGTTTGGAATCTAAAATAATTACCGCTAAGCTGCCCAAACCCCTTTGTGATATTTTAAATATGCTTAGGGACATTTAATGAAGCATTACTATTTTAACGTCTTTCATTATTTTAGATTAATTACATATTGTTCTTAAGTAGTAACACATGCAGTAATTTTCAAAGTGGAATATAATTCTCTCTCTAAAGTAATAAAATAAAAACAACACATTTTAATAGAGCTGCATTGCTACAATGTAATCTATAAGTGTCTAAGCATTATTATTACTGAAAATTTTTATAAAGTCCTTCACTTTGAAAAAATAAAAAATGCTAGGTTTACTGTTTTTATGTTGTACTAGAGGCCCGGTGAATGGATTCGTGCACCGGTGGGGGTCACTCGGCCTGGCCTGCATCCTCTCACAATCCGGGACCCCTCAGGGGATGTTGGATTGTCGGTTTTGGACTGATCCTCGCAGGCCAGGCTGAGGGACCCCACCGGTGCACGAATCCGTGCACCAGGCCTCTAGTATGCATATAAGATCTTTGGTTAATTGCTTCCCACGCTCTCCCTCCCGCCTTCCCTCTGAGATTCATCATTCTCTTCCATGTTTCCATGCCTGTGCATTGGGCGTCTACACCCTGGTGGTCAGTGCACATCATAGCTACCAGTCAAATGGTCAAACGGCTAAATGGTTGAATAGTCCATCAGTCGCTTAGACTTTTATATATATAGAATATTTAATTATACTGTATTCCTGTTTCTTAAAGCAAGTGTTAGGGAATGTAGTCCCAAGAGTGCATAGATTTCCAGGGATCAAGTAATTTAGGGGTTTGGGGTTAGACTCATAGTTGGTGATAGATTTTCAAACACGGCAATTCTCAATGGCCTTTCTTATCAGAAAGTATCCATGTTCAATGAAGAAAAGACAACAGACATACATAGAGATCATTTTTAGTAACAAATTAGGAAGGGAGAATCAGAGAGAAAATGGCTGCAGTTTTCAACCTTCTGGTTATACTGTCCAGAATCTTTCACTTGAGTCTGCCCACATTTTAGAGTTCAAGATATAAAAGAAAACATCATTTCCATGTATTTGTTTTTATTTCAGTTTAGAGGTGGCTTAGATCAGTAAGATGTGAGTCCAAATGTGACTGGTTTATCACCTTGACCCATGCCACTACTTCAAGACATTCATTGTGTGTGACTTTAAGATATACTCTTTGCTTCAGTTTGCTGGAATATTATAAAACATGAATAAAAATACTTTTTGAACCTGCTTAATAGTATTTAGAAAAAAAATCCAATTTGTCTAAAATCAAAATCCAACAGTGAATTAAATAATGTTTAAGGGGGAAAATAGAAGACTGAGAAATTGAGTTAATTTTCCAAGTTATTTTTTTGAAATGTTTAATTCTAAAATGCATAGATGTGATATTTGAATCATCTAATTAATTAGAATATTAAAGTCAATATATAATGAAATGACAATTTTAAAAAATCCAACAGTATTGAAGCACACCATGAGTGAGAACATACTTTGTATCCCCCGTAGTGTCTTGATTCTAGCATTCTAGAAGCTCGTTGTGGGAATGAATCCTCACCCACTCTCACATCATGCATGCTAATATGCATCCAAAGGTGAGGAATACAGGGGAAATAGAATCTTATTTTCCCAGCGGATTGCCTTTCCATCACTTCACATATAACAGCCAAGTAAACGCCAGCTGGGACTTTTTATGGCTATGACATGGGGTGTTTTCCCCTCCTCCTCTATAACTCTGTATCTTCAGTACAGAGCTCCTCTGCTTTAGTTCTGGTTTGCATATTGCATATTACTGTGAGAAGGTGTTTCGACAAAGGATGGATTCCGTAGTTGGGAGGACTTTGAGACAGTATTGTACTAATGCAGAAGTCCAAGAACATGGAAGAGGAAAGTGATATGAGGGTGAAGGTCAGCAAATGAGCCTTCTATTGTAATCCAAGTACACTTTCTAAACTGCTTATTCACATCAGAGAATGGAGGTCAGTTTCTGTCTCCTGAGAAGGTGATTTCTTGCCAGTAAGTCTGTATATGTTGGTTACCAAGCAGGGTGGGGTGCTATCCCATGCGAGCAACATGTCCCGCTATGAATCCCGGCTGAACTATTGAGATGAGCATGCTTCCCTGCTTTTAGATCTAGCTTTATACTTCAGGGTCGCTGTGTGACTCTTGGCTTCAATAATACAGTCACGCCCCTAGGGATCACAAACAGTAAAGGCATATCGCAAGCATTTTTCATAAATGTGATAAATTTTGAAACTTTTGCATTTATTTTTGCCAGCAAATGTTTGACTCATCTAGTTCTTGGCATTCACTGTCAGGATTTTGGCAAAGAATGTTATTTTCTATCAAAAGAAGAGATCTTTTCTTTCTCTGATCATGCATAGTTTGTAAATCAAAGACTTGTTTACAACCTAATGTAAAGAATTATTTTCCCTACTCAGATTTCTATCAAATGGGGACAGGGATAGACACTTACTGCCATTTGACTTTATGGTAAATCCCACAGAGTTCTTAGGAAAGCTACATAAACTGCCTTCTTACATATTTTCACTTTTATAACTTGTGTTTCTTTTGTCTGGCTTCTTTCAAATTTGTAATGATGCATATATTTATAATATAATACCATCTTATATTTGAACATAGCTTTTAAGTCAAGCTTTTAGTCTTTTTTTAATATATAATTTTTTGTTTCTTTTTTTGTTGTTGCTAATCCTCACTTGAGGATATTTTTTCCACTGATTTTTAGAAAGAGTAGAAGGGAGGGAGGGGGAGACACAGAGAGAGAAACATCAATGTGAGAAAGACACTGGATTTTATTATGCATTACAAAGTGCTGTGAGCCTAGCAACTACCATGTAACGCAATATGAAGGAGAAAACCCTATTCCACAAAATTATTTTCTCTCTGCATTGCCTAAAGATAGTATAAACAATATTTACAGATGTGAATAATGATTATTTCAAAGATTAGGAGGAAATGGTTATCTTGCTTTAATAAAAGAAGAGGAAAGAGAAAGTCGGGGGGAGGGGTCAACACATCCTTCTGTGAGTGATGGGTCCCACAATGGCGTTGTCAGCGGTGGTCAAGGGGGTCTCTGTCTAGAGACAGTACTCTGTGAACCCAGTTCTTGTCTTGCTTGTAGGAATGAATTCATACAATAGACTACAAATGTCAGCAAAAACAAGGGAGGATTTCTTTGTAGAAAAGAAATACTCTCAGATAGGATCTGAACAGACAACTCAGCTGGCCAAACCGAGTGCCCCGCTTGGGTGGGGTTTGGGACATTTATATCCTAGACTGGAGTGCTCCTCAGTAAGTCTCCCCCTTCCTTATTTCTAAAGAAAAAAAAGTGTCTTTAATTTATAAGGCTCCTTCATCTAAGTATTATGCCATCAGATCACATCCCAAAGGCTCTGAATCTTTCTTGCCTGCATAGAGCCTGATGCCTCCATTGTCTATTTTCAGTTTGTCACGTCTAACACTTACTTCCTCCAAGCCCCAGCTGCCTCTCCAGCCTCTCCCAACTCATATCTTTCTATCTGCCTGCTCGAACAGCACGACTGTGTTGGAACCAGAGGAAAGTCTGCTGTATAGAATATTACAAATCTGACAAATGACCCAGGAATTCCAGTTTCTGCTTCCACATGTACGGAGCTTGGAAGTCACCATTTTCTCATAACAACAAGTAAAAAGTTACTGAACAAACTGCACAATAAATAATATGTCTTAGATCTGTAAGAGAAGTAAGGTCATAGGACAAAGGGCTGCCCCCAAAATTAGAGCCCAACAAGCAAAATCAGAGAATTGCAACTTCCTAGAGCATAAAGTCGGGAGCTGAAATCTTCACGGGAACCCAGGCCAGGGTAGGAAGTGTTAAACTGTAACGGATGAGTTGCTGGAGGCTCAGAGTAGACAAATTTGATGGTTAAAAACTTCAAGGGGACCCAGTCATTAGGAGCCCCACACTTCTGTGAGTTTTACCTTTAGGAGTTCTACCAGGTTCTCACAGTAGAATTGTCGGAGTTGTGGTGGGGGGCTCCCTTCACTGCACTAGGAAGAGGGAAAGGAGCCATTTTTGCAATATGCCGGAGCACTCTGTTCTTCTTAGCAAGGCCAACCCTCGGGAGAAACTCTAACCAGAGCCTACCTGTTGGGTTTTATTGGAACCTCTCTGACCTGACAGAAAGGGAAGTTCCCAGTAGTCAGTGCTGCCATCCTGTCCCATCTACAGGGATGAGAGGACAACTAAGAAACACTTGTGAGGTTCACTCACTTAAAAAATGGGCCAACGACTTTAACAGACACCTCACTAGAGAAGACATACAGATCGCTGATAGATACATGCAAAGATGCTCCGAGTCTTATGTAATCAGGCAAATGCAAATGAAAAGAACAATAAGATACCTCTACCCACCTATTAGAATGAACAAACACTAACAAGACCAGATGCTGGAGGAGATGTGAGCTCCCATTGCTGGTGGGAATGTTAAATGGCGCAGCCACTTTGGAAGGCAGTTGGCAGTTTCTTACAGAACGAAACAGGCTTACCACGCAATCCAGCCATCGCGGCACTGACGGTCAACCAAAGGAGTTGAAAACTGACATCCATACAAAAACCTACACGTGGATGTTTATGGAAGCTTTATTTGTAATTGCCAAAACTTGGAAGCAACCAAGATGTTCTTCAGTAGGTGAATTAATAAACAAACTGGTACATCTAGACAGTGGAATATTGTTCAGCACTAAAAAGAAATGAATTATCAAAACATAAAAAGACAAAGAGGAAACTTCAATGTATATTACTAAGTGAAGCCTTATTATTTTTTTTTAATATAGAATCAACCCCGGGCCCTTTCAGTCCGCAGGCCGACGCTCCATCCCCTGAGTCAAACCGGTTTCGGCAAAGCCTTATTATTAATGGGCAATTCATACTATTAATCTGAAAGGCTATATACTATATGATTCCAA